CATATTCTACACTCCTGCTATGCTATCCTTGGCAGCCACAGGCCCACTACTTTGCCTTCCGTGCTCATCAACTAAATACAATCCATGTTTAACATCGCAGCCACCCTGGCCTTGAACACATCCTCTCCAATACGTTGCAGTCGCTGGTCACCCAGAAAGGTTACAGTGGTCCCATCATCGGGCATTACATCTCCATCCAAAGTTGTGCTGTAATAGCGTGCAGATACATAGCGCTGGGGCTCCGAACTGTGAGTGACCTTAGTCTCGATGGTATCGCTGTCTTCTAGGGGTCCTTCGAGGAGGTTGAACACAAGGCGAGACATAGGCGCTGCTGCTTCTTCGCCGAACCTCGGGTCGATGTACCTGAGCAGTGTTCGTGTGCACACGCGTGCATGATATTGTTAGGGGTATGTATACAACTGAGCGCATACGCAAATAAGAAAGTATATTTAGCAACAATTACCAAAAGTGGGTCCAAGGCATTTTGCCTTTTTTACAAGTGAACATATGGATGCATGTGATGATGTACATGCCTGTGTATGCATCTGTAAATGTATGAACTACTATAAAAATATATATACATGCCTAGCAGATCAGAAAGGACTATATGGGCATATTCGGAAACATCCCAACATATGCACAAACTGATATTAGTATAGTACTTGTGCGTGATGTACCACACACCGTCTGGAACACAGTACACGCCAGGCCTTGTGCTGCAGGTCTGTACAGCCCTCGCGCGTAGGTTGTAGTAGCAATTGTTCTATGGTAAGCTAGTGTAATAGCAATTGTTCTATGGTACGCTAGTATATTAACAATTATTTCTATGGCACGCTAGTATAGTATCAATTGTTCTATGGTACGCTGTGAGATAATACCTGTACCTACCGATTTGAGTTAGATTAAACCCTAAAACCCTAAAGCTCCACTGGTTCTGACAACTGAGAATTGCCTTCAACGTATTGCCCCTATGTGTCGACAGTGTTGGACTGAACTAAAACACTCCAGTACCACTGCACCCAAATGTCCCATAGCAACACATGCGCGTGCCTGCTGAATCATTGAACACCATGCAAACCGGCGGTATGTATATAGTGCAACCACTCAGCGTGAAACTGTAACGTTCGAGTGTCTTGCATATTGCCCAAAACGAGACCAGAAGTGTCCATAGTCTGAGAATACTCACAACAGTACACATAGTACTGCCGTAGAGCACTGACATACGGAAGTAGCTATATGAGTCAGCTTGGGTATTCAACATATCCACCGCTGTCCAGTACATGCAATACCAAAACATGCAATACCAAAACACGCACACATGCCTATCCGCACGACTAACACCACATACCGAAGGTCCAGAAGCTGTCCGATAGCCTCGATATTCGTATCGTGTCCTACAAACACCGTGGTTCCCGCCCCTTCCCCCCCACGCGGCGCAAACAATGTCGAGCTCAACACAGACAACAAGGAACTGGCATCTCTGGAAGCCATGTAGTCGGAATAGTGCTGTTTCCAGTACACATTGGTGGTCTTCTGCAAGTCAAGGATTTGCGCGTCTGTGGCTTGGCCCCATGCCGAGAGCATGCCGCTCATGCGCTCCATGAGAAACACTTCGGTGGCCGTGGCCGCCACTTTGGTCTGCCCCGCTATTTCGCCCTATGGGATTCCGGGACACACGGAAATGTATATTAGTGCCAATGGTACAACACACTTGGCGTTCAGGCTAGTAGAGCATACAAAGAGGTCCTATAGCGACAAGCAGTACAGTCGTTTACTGGAGGGCCGCATTTAGGGGTTGATCATGGATATGGGATATGAGGTGGACGCATCGGCTACCAACAACTCAGGTGTAGAATGTGTATGAGAAGGCGAGTACAGCCCATGGTAGACAGCAACTGTGACACTTGAGCCGGACTACACGAGCTGGGTGCAAGGTGACCGGCTGTCAACGAGATTCAACTAATATATATATATATATATATCAGTTGATTCTCGTATATACATATATATATATATATATATAATCTGTGATCGGCTCCAGGGCCGGGGTACCGAGCTTTGGGGTAGAATTTGGCCATGTGAATTATCAAAATTATTGTGAACCATAATATTTACATTTTCACACACACAAATATATACTAGGGCCCTAATATTCACATCCAACGTTTACCAACTTCATATCATTCTTCAATTTACAGAATTTTTCGTTAACTAGCACTTGATTTCGAATCTCACATATAATATAATATAATATAATATATATATATATATGTGTGTATATCATTGGACTTTGCACAATTGTTATTACAGCTGGTACAGCTGGGACGACCCGAAGGCTTTTATTGCTCGAGGTGCGGAATCAAGAACACGCCACTCTAGTTGACTCGAACCCAAACCTGTACCACTCCGCGACCAGGAAACGCCATCTATAGCTACAGTAGACGCTAAGTATAGGTCAATATGTTTAACAAAATCAGACCTATATATTGTATTTCGGTTTAGATGAAGATTCAAGAATCGTTTGTGAGGTTAACTCGCCAGGGGCTTAGGGTTTTGGGGTTTAAGAATTTTAGAGTTTTAGGGTTTTCGAGTTGTTAATCACAGCTCCCAAGCGGTGTCAACGACATCCGTACGCTACCGATGACTATCCGGAGAAACTTCCTTACAAGCCCAACAAGGGTAATCGACAATACTATACAAGCTGATACAAAGCAATCTAAACAATCATAACAGCCCTAACAGACGGGCATCTGTAACTCGCACCAAATATACCTCCCTCATAGAGTTATGGTTTTAGGGTTGTGGTTTAGGGTTGTCGTTCAGTGTTGTGGGTTCATAGGAAGTTGAAGAAGCCGCATGTACTAGCATTCGACCATTAGTCACACATATACGGATGATGGGACTGACACAGCCAGTCGAGCGGCATCGACGGGAAATCAAATGTTACGCTATCTATGCAATCGAACATATCCCATACACTGCCAAACTTAGAAGAATTCGAGTTTGCTCGATATACACGCACGCCTATCAGGCGAGCATTTCGCAGAGCCAGCCCAGTCAACACCCTGCCTAGCACTCTACAACATATGTGACACTACACAGCCAACACCTCTATTACACACGCGTGTACGTACAGAGGTACAGTGTGTGTATGTTACAACACTGTCTAGTCCTCCCCAACATATGTGACACTACACAGCCAACACCTCTATTACACACGC